GGACTCACAGAGTGAAGCTGTTGTTGGTATCCCAGGCCCCCAGCCCTGGGACACTCCCCAGACCCTGCTCTGACCCTGTGGGCCCTGGGAACACCTGGGGTATGGCTTGTTGTGGTGGTTTGAGACCCCCAAAAATCTAATTTCCAAGTCCAAGCCCCCCTCCCACAATTTGCTTCCGTGTGAGAGGTTTTTTTAGACATAACACATGACACTTGTTTGGGCCAGAGACCCAGGGACAGCTCAGGTCTGGGGCTCACGTGCTGCTCCCAGGCACCTCCACATCCCAGGTGAGTTCAGGCTTGAAGACTCGATGTCCTTGGCTGCTGAATGCTGCTTGGGCACGGTGTGGGATCACAGAAGGATGGAATGCTTTGGGCTGGAAAGGACCTTAAATCCCACTTTGTCCCATCCCCTGCCATGGGCAGGGACACCTTCCACTGGACCAGGTTGCTCCAAGGCCTGTCCAACCTCTGCTTTGCAAGTCCTGGGTTCTCCCAGTGCCTGGGGCACCTCAGGGCCTGCTGCTGAAACCAGGGAGAACTGCCTGGATCTAACCCTCCTGGAGACCCACCCAACAGGCACCACATCATATATCACACACAGCTTTCACACACTTCCTGACAGAGAACCCTGGAAGACTTTGAAGGACTTCCAAGTCCTTTCCAGCAAGGCAGGCTGATGCCTCCTCACACGGGGAATATGCTGAACACAAAAATAAGCTCTCAGGGCTCTTGGAGCCCCCCGAGCACACATGGCTCATGACCAAGCCTTGACTTTCCTTATGACTCTCCCCCCCCCCAATTAACCCACAGGAACTGCACTTCCTGGTGCAAACCTCTCACAACTGTTTCATTTCTAATCCCCCGTTTCACAGACGGCGAGCGTTAAAACAAAAAAAAAATATGAAAATAAACAGAAACCTCTAGAGAATAAAAGCAGGAACATTTTCAGGCAGCCTCTGACAGGGGGACCTGTTTAGGACACGGAGCCAACCCCCTCAGCTGGGTTTGAAGCACGTTACCAGGGGTGTTTTCCCCCAGCTTTGTTTGAGGGCAGTGGTTGGAGAGCCGGGACTTGGCAGACGTGTCTCCCGCCAAGGCAGCTCTTGGAAGGCAAGGAACTGAACAAACTCCTGCCTGTTTGTGGCCCTGCGATCCAAAACGTGATTAAGGGCAGAGGAATGTGATTCAGGGAAGGCATGAATGGGCTGGGAGGGGGCAGAGCCCGTCCTGCCTCCCGCCGGTCCCTCTCCACGGGACAGCCCAGGAACAAGGGCCGGCTTGGAAACAGCTCTGCTTGCTGCAAGGCAGGGTCAGAAACAGCCAAGTGCTCTCCACTGCTCCAGCCTCTGGTTGACAACACTTGGCCCCTCGGGCTGTTTGTGTGCTCTGGACAACGGGATGGGGGGATTGGAGCCCCTCTGGGCTGGCAGTGACTGACAGGGACCCCTCCCCAGCTGAGCATCCCAGAGTGGTTTGGGTTGGAAGGGACCTTAAAGCTCATCCAGTCCCACCCCCTGCCATGGGCAGGGACACCTCCCACCAGCCCAGGTTGCTCCAAGCCCTGTCCAGCCTGGCCTGGGACACTTGCAGGGATCCAGGGGCAGCCACAGCTCCTCTGGGCAACCTGTGCCAGCCCAAGGATTCCCTCCCTATATCAAATCTAACCCTCTGGCAGTGGGAAGCCATTGCCCCTTGTCCTGTCCCTCCAGGCCCTTGTCCAAAGTCCCTCTCCAAATCCTCCTGGCACAGAGAGCAGAGGGTGGCTGGGGATGGCTCCTGCAGCCCGGAGAAACTCGGCAGTGCTCCAGGAGAGGGGACTTCTTTCTGTTCAGAGGGACACCAGGTCTCCTGCAGACACTGTCTCCACTTCAGTGTTCATCCATGGGGACAGGAAGCACCGCCACATGATTCAGGGATGTGTCTCTTCCCCGACTCAACCACCACAGGACAGTGAGGATCCATCAGAGCAAACACTTCCAGGACAGTAATCCTGGCACATATCCGTGCCTGCTCCCTGCCAAGCCTTCCTCCTCACATCCAGAACTCTTCTGCCAACCAAAGAGCCAGGTGAGGGTCTTCTTCACCTCCAGTACCTGAGGGCAGCACAGACCCCGCCTTCCATTCCGAAATGTCTGACAGATGAACTCCATCATTGCATAGGATGGGCTCCTCACACAACCCATTGGCTCTTCTGGGAGGTCTTCCAGGTTTGATAAAGGTTGGATGGAGCCTGGAGCCACCTGGGCAGTGGAAGGTGTCCCTGCCCATGGCTGGAGGGTTGGACTGGTTGAGCTTTAAGATCCTTTTCCACTCAAACCACTTGGATTCAACGATACCCTCCAGCAGACCCATGAACACGCTCCCAGCGTGGAGGCACCAACCCCAAGCTCATCCCAAAGCTCTGCCTGTCCACATCAGGAAGCTGAACCACACACAGGAGTGTGGCTGGCACTGGAACAAGGTAATTCGCAGGATCTAAGTGCTGGAACGCTCGCTGGGAGGGCTGGGACACAACTCAGGGGGCACATTCCCTGGCAGTTCCCAGGCACACTGCTCCCAACACCAAGTGCAGCCACGGGCTCTGGGAGGCCGAGGAATCCCAGGATCATTTGTGCTGGAAAAGACCTCCAAAATCATGGAGCCCACCCTGTGCCCCATCCCCACCTTGTCCCCCAGCCCAGAGCACTGAGTGCCACGGCCAGGCCTTCCTGGGACACCTCCAGGGATGGGGACTCCACCTTTGGACCTCTGGCTGATGCAATGGATGCACAACTGAGCAGCAGCCTTGGATTCAGGTATCGACAGGAGACTCCTCCAGGTGATCCAGGGCTCTGCAGGGCTGGGAATTCCCCACTCACGGGTTCCTGCATCCCTTGGGAGAGGACACAGCTGTCACCTGAGCTGGTTGCTGGGCTCAGCTCTGCTGCAGCCAAGGCTGAGGAGGTTCAGCTCGTTCAGGGGATGAGCACTGCTGCCCTGGCCCTGCTGCCCTGGCGCTGCTGCCCTGGCCCTGCTGCCCTGGCATTGCTGCCCTGGCATTGCTGCCCTGGCACTGCTCAGGCTCACTGGGAGGTCTCATCTACACACTCGACCTGAACCCTGGGAGGAAAAGGGGAACTCCTGATCCCTCTCCATGGGGTTAAAGGAAAAAGTCCCCCCAGGACCTCCACGCCTTCCCAAGGGTTGCTGGGTGAGTGCACGTCCACTTCTGCTGGCTAACCCAGCCCTGGGGGCCACGAGCCCAGTGTGCTCTGCTGCTCCCATGGTTCCCACCGTTTTCTGGGAGGAGAGGATTCCATTCCAGCGTCTCAGCCCTCCCATGAGCTCCTCCACTGTGTCCCTGGGCCTGTTTGGCATTAGAGCCAGGCTCTGGTGCCGGAGCACGAGCGCCTGGCGCTGCTCTGGGTCTGTTGTGTGGGTTGTGGGACACGCCAAGGACCATCCGTGTGATGCACATGGTCGGGAATCCCTTGAATGTTCCTCTGGATATAGAACAGCGCAGCTCCTACGGCTGCTCCTCCGACTACAAAACAAAGGGGGTTTAATATTTAGCAGATTGTCCAAGTTTCTCACCAGCTGAGACGTGGAAACGGTCCTGTTGTAAATTAGGCTCTTTACTAGCTGGGACACAACAGCCCCAGCAGTGGTGGGGAACAGTGTGGTGGGCCACGAACACCACGTGGCCCAAGGCTCTGTCACTGCAATAACATCCCTGCAATAACAGCCCTGCAATAACAGCCCTGCAATAACAGCCCTGCACAAGGCTCTGCTCCTCCAGGCTGTGCCCAGGACCGGCCCCAGTGAGCCCCAGACAGAGCAGAGACTGTGAACATCTCGAGGGGAGATCAGCTCTGAACACAGGGCACAGAGGTTTCTGGACTTGCCCAGGCTCAGAAACAGTGTCTCCCTCCTTCTCACCTGCCATGATCTCTGCCCAAGGCAGGGAGGGACCTGCAGCCCTGGCAGTGAAGGAGGATCAGAGGTTTCCAAAGTGGATGCAAACGTTGCTGCTCTTGATGGGCTGCTGGTCCCAGTCCATGACCCGTGTTCTGCCTGTTATTTACCTTAACCCTTCATGGAAATTCCTGCTGCCACCACACAACTGACCCTTCTCACCAAGGGCTGGGAGGATCATCACCTCAGATCCCCAGGGATCAACACCCAGAGGCTGCTCCACATTTTCCCTCCTACAAACCCAGGTTGGACAGGGCTTGGAACAACCTGGGACAGTGGGAGGTGTCCCTGCCCATGGCAGGGGTGGGACTGGATGGGCTTTAAGGTCCCTTCCCACCCAAAACCTTCTGGGATTTAATGACTCTGTGGTGATGGGACAAAGCCCTGAGCAGCCTGTTTGGAGCAGAGGGGGTGGTCTGGGTGATCTCAGAGCTGCCTTTCCACCCCAGCCAGTCTGTGGTTTCTGTGTTTTTCTCAGCCAAATGGAGCATCCTGGGATTCTCAGCCTGTCCAGGCTGCCCCTTCATATCTAGGAGAACAGTTCTCAGTCCAAGCAAAGGAAGGATGTAAAGTTTCAGCTCCTACAGACCAGCAAAATGTCCTTTGGTTGGTCAAAATCTGCCTTTCTCGAGGCTTTTTGGCTCATTCATCCCCAATTCCAACAGAATTGGCCCGGACAGAATGTCACTGTGTTGACATTATTTACTTTTGGCTCATTATCCTCCTCCTGACACAGTGTTCCAGGGAAAGAAGGGAGGTAAAATTGGTCAAATTCTTCCCTGATCTCATATTTCCCCTTCTGCTGTATCCCTAATCCAGATGAAAGCACAGCACAGGAAAAATGAGCTAATGTATAACACTGCCTTTCCCTGCAGAGAACTATTCCTAGGAATGATGCTGGGTGGGAGAATGACACACAGCACAGCATTCCACTGGCACAGTCAGGAGCTGGAGGACAGGAGTGGTGGTGCCTTGGTTCTTTTCCTTCCTCCAGGACATTCCTTGAAGATCCTTCCACATGCTGCAACCTGGTCCCTCCAACGAGCCAAATGACTTCTGCCAGGTGCCTCAGCAAACCCAGGGACAGCCTGAGATTGGGTACTAGGAAAAAATTCCTGGCTGGGAGGGTGGGGAGGCCCTGGCACAGGCTGCCCAGAGAACCTGTGGCTGCCCCTGGATCCCTGCAAGTGTCCAAGGCCAGGTTGGACGGGTTGGAGCAACCTGGGCTGGTGGGAGGTGTCCCTGCCCAGGGCAGGGGTGGAACTGGGTGATCTTTAAGGTCCCTTCCAACCCAAACCATTCCATGATTCTCTGATCACCCAACAAGGCCCTGGGCTCCAAGAGAAGGTGCCCACTCACCAGCACCTCAAACTGAGGACAGAACATTAATAAAAGGCCACCCAGGAGTCACCAAAAGCCACTTTCAGCACACGTGGAACTGAAGTGTTTTCCCCATTTAAAGTCACCCCAAAATATACGACCCCCTACAAAGAACAAGCCACCAGAATCTCCAATGCACGTGTCCAATATCCAATTATGTCCGTGACAAACAACGTGTGAACCCCCCCAGCAGTGCAGACCCCCAGGATTAATGGTCATTACAGCCCGGGGAGAGAGGCAACCATGTTCCAAAGCCCTGCGAACGTGCCGAGCTGCAGAGGGACGCCGAACATCTGGCTGATCCCGAGAAAAGCAGAAGGGCTCCCTCTGGAGTGGATCCCGGAGTTAACACAGGATTGGGGTTTGCACAGAGGAAATGGGAAGGGGCAGCAGAGCCAAGGCTTTCCTGTCTCTGTCAGCTCAGCTCCTGCTCACAGCCAGCACCCCGGGGCTCCTTCAAGGAGACTCTGCCACGGCTGAAGGACACGGAGCCATGCCCGGAATATTAAGCCATTAATTAGTTTTTCATGCATGGACTTGCATGTGGCAAGGAGGCAAATTAAAGGGTTCCTGAAGAGACAGGAAAGCTTCCTTAGCATGTGAAACACTCCAAAGGATCCCCAGCAAAACAAATCATGAAAGCCAGCTGAGAATCCCCCGTTTTCAGCCCCGGATGGTCATGCAGGATTCCAGGAAAGCCTCGGGAATCCAGCCACTGGTTGTGCCCCCGTGGCAATCAACTTCATTTGAAAGGGAGAGAGGAGTGGCTTTAAGGACACACACCAAACATGCTCTGATGGAAGCTGATGGAGGCTGTTTGCAAACCCGGGAGAGAGAAAGGCCCCACAGCCCCACGGTTTATTTGCATACCAGCCAATTAACAGAAAATGGATTTCATGCAGGAAGAAAAAAAAAAAAAAAGAGTCAGATCACCTACAAAGTGAAGTCAACTTACTGCCTGCTTTTGCTCTTCTTCCTGGAGGTGTTGGCAAAAGAAAAGGGCGAAGAGAGAAAGAGGAAAGATTAATTATCACAGGAAAATGATAATTTTCACACAAAACACACAAGAGCCACAGTGAAAGGACAGAACACGTGGAGCAAACACCTCCACAGGGCAGGAACTGAGGATGTGGGGCACCAGGGCTCCCCGTGGCACAAACCTGCCTTCACAGAGCCCCAAAACTGCCACAGCCCCAGGGGAGAAACATCACCCTCCTGGTGGGTTCCCAGTGGGCATTCCTGGAGCTCTGCCAGTGGGACCCACGAGGGCAAAGCCACCAGGGCTGGAATGGGACACGGCACTGGGAGGGCAAAGGCAGCAGAGATGCTGAGTCAGGGAAGAGATGCAGAGAAAACAATTCCTGCCCTGCAGTGCCTTTGTCAGTACAGATCCCTCCTGATTTGGAAGACAAAAAGAGGTGAAATCTGGATGAATTTATCCCCTTTTGGAGCAGGGAAATGTCCCCTCTGATCGGGCTGGGCAGGTGGAGGCACATCCTGCCTTCAGCTACAGGAGAATTCCTTGGAATGAGCAAAATGTCCCACAGTGGGGAGTTTCTTTCCTAATTCAGACACTTCCCCAGACAACAACCATCGCTCTGTGCTCTGACAGAAGGGCTGGAGCACAGTCCTGGTGACTCACGTACCCCAAACCAGCAGTGACAGCATTTCCAGGTGACTGGCACAGACCCCCAGCACAGAGGACCCCCCTAAACACGTTTCCCCAGAAATCCAGGTCAGGGAATTAAAATTCACGGGATAAAAGCTCCTTCTGGCCCTCAAATCCACGAACCCATTTATCCACCTTCCCTCCCTGATCTCCCGTCTGAGCAGGATTAACCAGAACCTTTCCCTTAATTTAAAGCAGCTTCTTCTCACTGACCACTCAAAAAGCTGTTTTTTTCCCCTCTGTGCCCCACAGACAGATCTGGGAATGGCTGCAGAGAACTCCATGTTTCTGAGCAGACACTTTTGGTTTTGTTCTGGTGAGACTCAGGGCTCCTCCAGGTGTGTTTTCAGCTGCTGCTGTGGCAGATGTGGGGTCTGGCTCCACTCAGGCTCAGATCAGCATCAGCTGAGGTCAGCGCTGCCCTCCCCACGTCCCACAGCTCCCAGTTGTTCCTCCCACCCTGGCTGGGACTCACAGGACCAGATGGGGAGCAGGGTCAGGGAAAAGATCTTCAGCGATCTCCACTCCACAAAAAAAGCTGCTGGTTTGAAAAATGAGGCTTTGGCATTAAGTGCAGATGTGAAAACCCCCTCTCAGGAGGGCCAGGGAGCAGATAAATCACCGGAGCAGCCGGCGAGGAAATTGCCTTTGAGGAAATGGAGGCAGTGAAAGGGGATCTGTCTGCGGGATATCCGTGCAGGGAGAGTGATTCCCTGTCCCCACGGAGTGCTCCTCAGAGCCAGCCCAGCCCAGGGCACCTGGGCACTGCAGCAGAGCTCAGCAGAGAAGGGAGAGCCAGGCCAGGGGGCTGGAGAGAGCCACAGGATCCCAGAATGGTTTGGGTGGGAAGGGACCTTACAAACCACCCAGTGCTGCTCCAAGCCCTGTCCAGCCTGGCCTGGGACACTCCCAGGGATCCAGGGGCAGCCACAGCCTCCCTTCCCTCCCTTCCCACCCAAAGCAGTCATTCTATGACCCTCCTGTGACTGGGACCCCCAGCAGGAGTGTCCTGGGTCAGTGAGGGGATGTGGAAGACACTGGATGCAAACCCCAAGCCCAGCCCCAAATGGCAGTGGCTGGGGGGGTCCTGTGTGGAATCACAGACACCAGAGCAGGACACCCCTCATGGGGGTCACTGACCCCAGCACAGCCCCAAATCACAGAACATGGTTTGGGTTGAAGGGACCTGAGACCCTGAGACTGGGCCCTCCCCTGCCCTGAGGCCAAACATCACAGCATGGGAAAAATGGACGAGCCCCCAGAGGACAACTGTGGCCTTCCAAAGACAGGCTTCCATGGAATCACGGGGTGTCCTGAGAGGGGAGGCACCCACAGGGTCTCCTTTTCTTCAGAGAGGGATTGGAGGCCCCAAACTCTCAGACAACCAGAGCTGGGCAAGCTGAATCCAGCCCTAAATGGTGAAATGAAGGCAGCATTAAAAATGTAAAAAATGCTGCACAAGAAAATGGAAAAAAAACCCCATAAAAGCTTTAACAGCTGATGTAAATTATACATGAACGTTTCTGAGGAGCTCCAAATGAGAGGAGCTAAAAACCTTGTGGGGGGAAAATCGTGTCTGGCAGGGCTGAAACCACCGAAAAGGAGAGTTTGAGCAGGACACAAATATCAAAACCAAAACAAAGCCTGGAGGCAGCGTCACTGCTTCGGGTCATGGGGGTGAAGTTCTGAGCAGGGGCTGAGGAATTCGTGTCTCTGCTCTGGCTCTGACTCACAGCACTTCCCCTCGGAGTTTCTCTCAGCAGATAGGGAAGTACTGACACTAATAATGAGAAAAGGTGTTAAAAGTATCTACTAGAACTTCTATTTTTAGATCAGCAGGGCTGGGGAACTTGCAGCTTAAAAATAATTACCTGAGTGAGGAGCTACAGGGTGCAGGGAAGGGAATTTTTAATGGAGCCTGGAGAGCCCAGGACTGGGATGTGGATATTCAAACAGGGAGGAAAGACAACTTAAATAAGAGAAGCTCTGGGGTGACCTGATTGTGACCTTCCATTACCTAAAGAGGACAACAGGGAAGATGGAGAGACACCATTTCCAAGGGCCTGGAGAGACAGGACAAGGGGGTGAGGTGGGGAGGGCCTGGCACAGGTTGCCCAGAGAAGCTGTGGCTGCCCCTGGATCCCTGGGAGTGTCCCAGGCCAGGCTGGAGGGGCTTGGAGCAACCTGGGATAATGGGAAGTGTCCCTGCCCATGGCAGAGGTGGGACTGGGTGAGCTTTGAAGTCCCTTCCCACCCAAACCATTCCAGTATTTCTGATTGTCTGATCTGGCCCTGCCATCAGTTCACTCAGAGCCACAGAAATGCTGACCCAGGACCCAGCCCCTGACACAGGTGACACAGGAGCTGCAGAACTCCATGGAAATCCTGACATAAAAGGGGCTGATTTTGTTATTTGAATGTACAACAGGTTTGGCTTCTAAAGGGAACGGCACAGATGTGAGAGATTTTCACAGCAGAGGATTTACCCACAACATCCTCATTACCCAGTTGCCACAGGAGGAAACAAATCCACAGAGGAAGAGCTGGATGGCTGAGAGCCTGCAAAAGGCACAGAGAGGAAAGCAGGGATGGAGAGCAGGGAAGGCCCTGCTGTGACTCTGCACCAGCTGTGAGGGGCAGGGAAGGATTCCACCCAGGGCTTGTTCTTCTCAAAGTTAAAAAAAAAAACCCCAAAACGTTAAAAATCTGAAGGAGGCAAAGAAACCATCCCTGAAAAGGCTGGAGCAGAGTGTTGTGAGGGGCCCAGCAGAGCTGGGCTTTAAAACCTTTAAACCCACCCCTGAGAAGTGCCCTGGCTGAGCTGAGGGAGGACCTGAGCAGGCAGAACATTGAGGGGGGTGCAAAAGTGCTCCTGGATTGCAGGGAGGGAGAACCAAGGGGTGCAAACTGAGTCAGAGCTGAAACACCAGGCATGAATTTCTGACTGCTCGAGCAGAATTTGCATCGGCAGGGAATTTTCCACTCCTGATCTCTCCAGCTCCAGACCAGATGTCTTTCTGGAAGATGCTTTAACCAAGAGGCTGCCAGGCTCCACAGACAGCTCTGGGGGGGAAAGGCAAACAGCCACATTGTGTAGGACCAAGTAATTCCAGCAGTCACAGCTCACAGGACAGCTGAGGAGGTCTCAGAACAGGGTCAAAACCTCAGAGCAGGTTCCTCAGGGCTTTGGCCACGTTGGGCCTTGGAAACCTCCAAGGATGGAGATGGTGCAGCCCCTGTGGGCCCTCATCCCACTGCTTGGGCACCCTCATGGGGACAGAGCTCTTCCTTATACCCAGTCCTAGCTGCTGGATAAAGTTCTTAAACAAATTTGGGAGCTACAGGAGAGCTGGAGAAGGACTGGGGACATGGGATGGAGGGACAGGACAAGGGAGAATGGCTTCCCACTGCCAGAGGGCAGGGAGAGATGGCAGACTGGGAAGGAATTCTTGGTTGGGAGGGTGGGGAGGGACTGGCCCAGGTTGCCCAGAGAAGCTGTGGCTGCCCCTGGATCCCTGGGAGTGTCCAAGGCCAGGTTGGAGGGGGCTTGGAGCAACCTGGGATAGTGGGAGGTGTCCCTGCCCATGGCAGGGGGTGGGATGGGCTGAGCTTTCAGATCCCTTCCAACCCAAGCTTTTCTGGGATTTCTGGGATTTTGAAATTCAGACCTTAACTGGCTGAGCAGAGAAAACACCGAGTGCAGAACCCCTGGCTTAAGGAACTTCCCAAATCCCACATGTGCTCACCTGCCCAGGGAAATGAGGGAAACCAGGCCCCTCTGGGGAGGTTCTGATCATCACCTCCTGTACAGACATCCCAAACCAGGCCCCTCTGGGGAGGTTCTGATCATCACCTCCTGTACAGACATCCCAGCCCTGGGATGCAAGGGTAGGGGTAGGAATTCCTACCTCAGGATAAAGGGTAGGGGTAGGAATTCCTACCCAGGATAAAGGGTAGGGGTAGGAATTCCTACCCAGGATAAAGGGTAGGGGTAGGAATTCCTACCCAGGATAAAGGGTAGGGGTAGGAATTCCTACTCAGGATAAAGGGTAGGGGTAGGAATTCCTACCTCAGGATTCAACCCAAGCTGAGGAGTTCCTGCACTCTGGAGTCACAGGCACTGGGAATTCACTGTCACCTCCCAGTGCAGACCAGCTCCAAATTTCCCTGGAATCATCAGGATGTGCCTGTGGCTGATCTATATCCCACCCTGCCTCTGGCACTGTCACTGCTCCATCTCTCTCCCACCCCCACAGCACCTTCAGGGCACCTTGTCTTAGATCAAAACCTCTTTAAGGCCAAGGCTTTGCCGTTTGACTCACTGGTTCTTGTTTGACTTAAAGAAGGGGGAGAATAAAGGAGTAACAGTATTTCAGACTGCAGTATTTCATCATCTGGGAGCTCAGCTGAGGGAGGACTCCACAAAAACAGTGAAGGACCCTGGTCAGGAACCAAACAATGACGGGTGCTGCAGATCAGAGCTGACCCATCACCCCCAGAGCAAACCCCCAGACATGGCAGGGGCTGGGCAGGGTCACCCCCTAGATCAGCCCCACAGCCCTGGGGAGTCACATCCTGCCCTGCAGGAACTACAGCTCCCAGCTTATTTCCCAGTTAGAGCTGGAAGAACAGAACTGGTGCCCAGATCAGGTCCCAGTTACCAAATCAAATACTTCTTTAAACCCTTCCAAACCTTGGGTTCTCCACACTTCAACCACATGAACCTGAAAACCCCTTTGCCACCTGCACCCCCACACAGAGCCAGGATGGAAATGGCTTTTTGCAAACTCCTCCTATTGCCCATGAGGTGTTTTATAAGGTGTGACAGCAAAGCAGGGACCCCAGAGCAGCCCCAGAGCCAGGGGAGGGAGGTGCTGCCTTCCCCACAGGAGGTTCCTTACTTTGAGCAGCTTCATCAGCCCTTCCAGCTGCACCATCAGTTCTCTTCTGCTCTCCTGAAGCGCTGACATCCTCTGCTCCAGCTCATCCTTCCTCTGCCTGATCAGGTCACATGGAAGAAAGAGGCAGAAAACAAACAAACTTGGGGTATTTCAAACCAGCCCAGGGAGCTCACCCTGTAACGGGGTCTGTGGTTCCCACCATTCCCCTGCTCCCCATCCAAAAACCCAGAGGAAGGCCCAGCACAGTGCCCATGAACCTGAAGATGACAATACCCTGTTCATCTCAAACCCAGAGACGTGTCCTCAGCCCCTGGCCCAGGGGAGCCCTTCTCAGGGCACTGCATTTTGAGGAAAAAACCCACTTTTTTCTTCCTTTTAAGGCCCCCGAGTTGTCAGAGCCTGGCATCCTGTGGAGTGCTCAGACAAGCCAGGATGGGAGGAAAGACAGAGAGGGGGGAAAAGAAGAGGAGGACAGGCTGCAGATGTTTGGGGAGGAAGAGCTGTGCCTGTCTGGAGGAGACTCAGCAGAGCTATTTCTGTGCCGTGACGGATCGGCCGGGACACGCGCGCTGCGCCAGCACCAGGTAACAACAGATAAGGAGTGACCTTCCCTTTCCTTGGCAGCTGAAAACCTGCCTGGGAGCTATTTGAGGAAATATGACTGTGTGGTTTGATTTCAGATTCCAAAAAAGAAAGCAGTGACTAACAGAAGGAGCAGCTCAAAGACGGACGTCAGCCCAGCGGAGGTTCCGTGTCCCGGGCGACTTAAGAGATGCCAGGACCCACAAAGCCCAGTCACAGGTGATGAGACAAAACCCTGGGGAAAAGCAGGTTAAAAAGGCTCCTTCATTCGTCCACAGTTATTTTTGTGGACACCAGAATGTCTTAATCCCAAGTTAAAGCATCACCTATTACAGACTGAACCTCCAAGTGTCTCCGATGGGATCTGTGTTCTCACGTGACTCACTCTGGATAAATCATTCTGGGGGTTTCAGGAACAGACCAGTTCTTTAAAGGACAGAAGACTGTGAAATATTAACCACCCTGGATGCTTCTTTCAACATCTTCTTGTATTTTGAGGACTGTGGTTATTAAACTAAGCAGCCTTCCAGAATGTGAGGGAAGGCAGAGAGGGGCTGGAGGATCACCAGGAACTGGAGGGACAGGACAAGGGGGAATGGCTGCCCATTGCCAGGGGGTTAGATGGGATACTGGGAAGGAATTCCTGGCTGGGAGGGTGGGGAGGCCCTGGCACAGGTTGCCCAGAGAAGCTGTGGCTGCCCCTGGATCCCTGGAAGTGTCCAAGGCCAGGTTGGACGGGGCTTGGAGCACCCTGGGCTGGTGGAAGGTGTCCTTGCTCATGGCA